CGGAATTTTTATGTTACAGATATTTAGCCAGAACAAAGGGATGGGCGATCTCTTGGGGGAGGGTGCCCTTACGGGATCTTTTTTTGTTTTTATCATTTGGCAACTGCTGTGTCTGCACACGTTACTTTTGCCTATATATATATATATATATATATATTCTTTCCAAGGACTATGGCGGACGCTGCTTCGACCTGCACATTGCTGTGGATTCAGTTTTGTTTTTTAACTTGGTTAAGCCAGGCGATGTAATACTGGCAGACAAGACAAGGGCTTCCCTGGTATTAAGGCTGGTGTAGAAAACAATAATGCTGTGCCTGCCATGCCTCCCTTTTATTCAGGGAATGGGCAGTTCAGTCGCCAAGAGGTACAGGACATATACAAGATTGCTCAGGTTTGCATTCATGTGGAGAGGATGATTCAATAAATCAAAGTGTACAATATTCTGAACACTCGGGTGCCAATCTCCCTTATTCCTGTAATGAGCGACGTGTTTCACATGTGCTGCATTCTGGCTAACTCGTAACCCGCTATAATTGCTTCACAGTCATGAGCTTGAGACCGAACATTGGAATGGATGTCTCGAACCTGTTACCGACTATAGGCCAAGAACTGAATGCGCTAACAAACAACATCTGCTAGCACTTTGCTTGGAGTCATTGAGATAGATCTAGTAGTTCGCAGTTTGTTTCGAATTGCATTTGTTTTGTAATTGTAAAAATAAAAGGGCGGCTCAAATTTTGATATATATATATATGTGTGTGTGTGTGTGTTTTCAAATCTTAGTACTTTCCTTGTTTAAGTTTGTGTTGCTTTTGTATAGAAACTGTATACAATACGACTTAAATTATAGTAGTCCCAGATGGGGCCCGAAAGTATTTTGAAATAAAAATAAACATCTTAAAAATTCCTTCAGTTTGCAGGAATAAAAAAAAAACTGTTGGCAGTGTTTCTTTTCATGAAATTTTAATGAATTGGCTTGTATGTCAAAAAAACAATCAAGGACCTCTACCATTCAGCACCAACTCATGTCGGAAACAAAAAATTGATGGTGGCAAAGCAGCTCTCACATCTCAATTATATCGGTCATGTGCACACTGCCGTCTGTGTAATCTTTTCTATCCGAGCCATGACCTCCTACAATGCCAAAAAATGGATCAAACAAGGCAAGTTAATTTAGCAGAACGGATAATTGGGCAAGTGATTTGTGGCATGGTCAGAATCGTAAAGACAAACTGTATATGTTTCTAGCTTGCATGACAATTCTTTACTGAGTAGTAGGCAGATAATAGACACGAATGGTCTATTCCCAGTTGTAATACGAGATTCTGCTTGAATTATCAGCTTTTGCAGCTTTTTCTCTCTGTCTCTGTCACCTATATGTATGATGGGAATAAATAAATGAATAGAATTTTAACTCCAATGTTACTACATTCTGTTTCTTAGATCACAAACCTTCATGCTGTTTATCAAATGAGGGCAGTGTTGGCCAGACAGAAAGTCAGAAGGAGGTTAGTTGTAGAATTCGAGACAGACAACGACAATGTTGGCACAGGTTTGGGAGGCACAGAAAACAAGAGGAAGTTTCAGTGACTCGTTTTTGGAACACACAATACTGAAATCATGAACACTGGGTGCAGCTGGTTCGTCCTGTCAAACCGTACACGAAATTTAACGTATCTTAGCGAACCGTTAAACTGGGGCAACCGTGTAAACGATGTTGATGACTGCATTTGACCGGCAGCACCATCTTCTAGTAAACATGCAACATTCTGCAGCGTGCAAAATTATGACGGCTCCTGTTTCTGGTGCACGACTGATGTAAACAAGACGGTTGGCGTAACATGTACCGATCAGAATTTCAAGACCTGCAAAGCTAGACAGAGTAAAAAGTGTCTGAGCGACCGCAAAGGTAGGTGGTGTATCTCTGTCATCTTGAACTTAAATGATGGTTCACGTTGTGTGCCGTCGAACCAAATCATTTCGTCTGCTCGTGGTCGCCGCGGCAGCTAGTCAGCTCGCAGATCACAAGAAATTGCTAGCATGCATAGTTTACAGCATCTGCACTTGCTTACCATTCTGAGCCATCCTCGAAATGATTTGGTTCAACCTCTCAAATTAAGCAAAGTAATACCTGTGTCAAACGACGCCCTAAGCGTCCTTTCCTCTAAATGTTGTTTCTACTAAAGGCCTTTTTCTCTAAAGGAGATGCTGCCACACGATCGACAAAATGACATTTATCAGCGATGTTTACTACTTTAGGGTCGTCTACGAACAGATGAAACCAGAACTAAAATATTATAATATTTTTTTCATTTTTGTAAATATTATTATGTGGTACTTTTAATTGTTATAAGAAGTTTTAAATGCATAGTATATAAAAATAAGAGTATTTCTTGTACTATCCAAATTTACAATTGTATTTGGCAGAAATGTTAAGTACATCTGGCAACCACGCTGCCGCATGCTGCAGTCGGCTGTACCTTGTGTTGTGCGAGCTGTTCCTCGTTGTTCTGCTTCGTTCCTCTTCCTAGATTGTTTCCTTCCTGGGCTCGCGCCGAGTCTTTAATTTCCTCGGAGTGAACAATCGACGATGGACGTTAGTTGTCTAGAAGCAATCTGCCCCATGCAGGCACGTTTGCAGCAGTCCCTTGTCATGAAGATAGAGCTAGACTCCATGAGGAGCGAAAGCAAAGCTCTGAAGATGGTGTTCCTTGCAAATTCCTTCACAATTGTAGCTCTTGCCTTGCAGGGCATAGAGCGAATTGAGAGCAAACTTTGGAGCTACGAGAAAGGTGAAAGATGGTTCGAGGCCACCTTGCCGCACCTTGGTGACAGGAACTTTAAAGCGTGCTTCCAGGTGCTGCCGTGTACCTATCGATACCTCGGTGACGTGCGTCGTACAGTGATGGGAAGACAAGACACGAGCATGCAAAAACCTATCAGCATTGAGAAGCATGTGGCAATAGGCCCGTACAAACTCTGTTCTACTGCCGAGGACAGAGCTATCGCCCACCTTTTTGGAGCCCATCGCTCAACTGTAAACGGAATTCACTGCGAGTTCTGGGGAACAGTCGTCGCCAACTTGGAGCAGTTCATGGCAGCTACGGTGCGCAAGAGTGAGCTGCAGAACAACATGCTGAAGTTTGAGGCGGTGTGTGGCTTTCCAAGCATCATCAACGCCCTAAACGGTTGTCACCTTGTTGTGTCACCACCGAAGGACCATGATTGTGACTACCACAATTATAAGGGATGGTAAGCTACAAGTCGACCATGATCAGTCCATGCATGACTTCAGTATTTTTTCTATTATCAACAAGGGCATATATGTATGACAGTTCCCTTTTGTTCTTCAAATCGGGGATAACCGACGCGCAGCTGGTAGAGTAGTATCTCGAAACTGTTGGGTGTTTTGCGGGGGTATACCCACGACTGATTGACCATACTCCTCAAGAGTTGAAAATGGGACATCAACGAAAAGGGTAGATGGAGGGAAAGGGAAACAGCGGGCTCCAGGCACATACGCCCCTAGTCGTGAAAGGGACTGCTGTGCCACCCATCGTGCTGTGCGACCAGGCGTTCCCGTCGACTCCAAACTCAAGGAAGCCATTCCCCCATGGTACGGTTTTGACACCAGCACAAAGGGACTTTAATTACTGTTTTTCAAAGGCAAGACGCATTGTAGAAACCGTAGCGTAATTTTGTATGCAACCTGCGTAACATGCTGGAACCTCAGAGTCGCAGGACTGTAGCGAGTTTCTTTGGTTCGAGACAGACGCCTGGCTTTCGTTAGGAGTCCCCTTTGTAGTGGCTGCCCGGCGGGGCTGCATGGCCGTGAAAAGTTGGGGGACAGCAAGGCGGTGCCTCGGCTCATCCCTAATTCCAAAGTCGGTTTGCGTATGTGCATTGTGCCGTTGATGGCACGTCCCATCCCATGTCGTCGACCTGTCGGTGTTGTACCAGGAAGTGGCTATACTGGACCCGAGAGGCATCTTAACGACTTCAACGTACGTCTATGGGAGTCTATAATTGGTACGTCTACAGAGTCGGTGGAGAAGGGCCGTTTTATTTTGGTGGCGCCAACTTGACTTGTTATTCGAATTTGCTTGTCGGCATCTGTGTAGCCGTCCTTTGGAGATGATAATGCGTATTAGAGGGAGAGAGTGAAAGAGAGGAAGAGATGAGGGTAGCTATGCTGAGAGTGCGAGTTGAGAAGGGGAGTCGACTAAAGAGACTTGAAAAAAGACGTATTGAGAATGATGCAGGAGGAATGGGATAGATGAGCACAAGTTGAGATCGAAGTCCCATCAAGAGCGATGAAGAGGAATCGAGTAGAGAAAGTGCAGAGGTGTCATATACAGAGCAAGATGGCAGAGGCCATCGAGTTTTGAGAATGAGTGACCTTTGAACTATGATGTATATTATCCTGTATATTAAACCAAGTCATCGCTCCTAAAATTCCACGATCCCGACATCGCTGAAGCCCAAAGAGACCCTTGGTTGGCAATCAGCAACAACGTCACCACAGACCCCGAAGACAACGAGCGACTTCACGTTACGTGACAACGAGACGATAAACTTTACATGGTGGCAGCGGTGGGATACGTAAAGTCTCTGCACGAAGCGAGCAGCTTCGGGAGAGTGCGGCGTGACCAACCGACGACGCGGGACCCGGGCATCGGAGGCTGGCCAGACGAGTGGCAACCTTCGTGGACAAACATTCAAGTGCGAAAGGTGTGAACGAACTACAACACACCTCAGCAACGCAAGGCATTTTGGATGAGCGACAACCATGGATGAAATTTTGCATGCCACGTTGTCCGCTCTCAGCAAAGCGCAGCTGAGGGAAAAGTGTGCCGAGCTCAGAATTGTACATGTCACGTCGCTTCAAAAAGATGAAGTTATTCGGCACATATTGGAGAGTCAAATGAGTGAAGATGCAAATGTCGCAAGGGATGGAGTGTGACATGTGTTGCGGGAGGCTATTGACGTGAGTGGGGGAGATGACAGTGGGGGGCTCTCTTAATGCATTGAAAGTCGTGGAGGACGTGAAGAGCTTACGTTTTGTTTCTTGCCTCCCGAAGATAGCGATGGAATTTTATCGGCTAGACTTAATTAGCTGCAAGTTTCAAACTTGCCCAACTTGAGCCCAGGCAAGATGAAAATTTTTTTTACCTTTGTTTGTAAGGTCTAATATCACATCCCGAAACACGGTGTTTTTATTTCTTCTCGCAGCTGGCAAAAAAGGGAGCAGGACACAATCGGGTAGCCCTTCAACACCTGCATCCTCAAGTACGGAAGATGCCGGGCCCTCGACCACTGTAGCCGATCACTCAACCAGTGAGGACGACCAGGCCACCAGTGTTGAACCACCACTGCAAGAGGGAGATTCTATGCATGCTGTGAATGCGGTGAGCCAGTTTGTCCGATATGTTTTTCTGGACTTCCGACTTTCACAAATTAATTTTGTTCTACGATTGCCCTGTCACATGAAGCAGACGAGTTATTCGGACAATACCGAAAAGTTTTTTGTGGTAGTGCCATCAAACTATATTGATAAAACTATATTGCCTTATGGATCTAATCACTCCTGAACTGCTGTAAACACGACAAGGTGACCTGTTCCCTCCCAACTTACCAGAAACATTGTTTTGTTGAATGTTGTCTGAATTACAAGATTGCTTTGTAAATAGGAAACTACCAGCAAGTGACATATGCATTTCATGCAAACAGAGTGGTTGCACTATTCATTTTGTGTCTGATTATGTAGGAGTTTTTCTAATTAGTTAGAGCAGATTGTCTGCGAAACAGTGGAAACAGTAGACCACTGATACATGCATATGGTGTTTTCACAGTTCACACAGACAGAACGAGTTGACGAAGTTGGACCCTGCAACCTCTTCTTGTCCGTGACATCAGATAGGGATGCTTCCACTCAGGTCACCCACGCTATCATGACAAGCGTCGCCATCGAAGCAGCTACAGAATGCGCATCAACAGCTGTGGGGCCTGACCGACGGAGCTGCATCTTTGCTGGTTATGACTCTTTAGTAGGAAAGTCTGGTGCTCTTGAGGAGCTCTGCTCAGTGAGCACGAGTGTCTTTGCTTTGTTGCTCCATTTACTCAGTTCTATTGTTGTGAGAGAGAATGACATCTCCATTGAAAACAAACTGCTCATATTTCTTTTAAAACTGAAGCTCGGGATTTCATTTACGAGCCTTGGGGTGCTGTTCGGTGTGCACAGGACAACAGCAAGCCGCATCTTTTTTTTTGTTTTAAAGAACCTGGCCAGTGCCACAAGCTCCTGGATCCCAAATCCGTCCTCTTCCTTGGTGCAGGCAACTATGCCGGAGTGCTTCAAAGCACACTACCCAAAGTGCCGCTACATAATTGACTGCACCGAGGTGAGGACGGAGACTCCAGCGACTTTAGAACAGCAGCGGGCACTGTTCTCAAATTACAAGGGCTGTCACACACTGAAGTTTCTCATAGCCATTCTTCCCAACGGAACCGTTTCATTTGTCTCACAGGCGTATGGGGGCCGGAGCTCGGACACCTACATAACTATTGACTCGGGGTTCTTAGAGCGTATAGAACCAGGAGATGTAGTACTTGCAGATAAAGGGTTCCCGGGGATGAAAGCACCAGTTGAGAGCAAGCATGAAGTCATGGTGTTTCCCCCCTTCTCAAAAGGCCAGTTGCAGTTTACGTCTGCTGAAATGGAGATGACATACCAAGTTGCCAAGGTGCAAATTCACATTGAGAGAGCTATTCAGAGGATAAAGATTTTCAATGTTCTGAACAACAGAGTCCCCACTGAACTTACTTCTAGCATGACCGACATTGTGCGCATCTGCTGTGTACTGGTGAATCTTCAGCCACCAATCCTTACGAAATAATTCAACAGAACAGAACCTCATTACATTCTTAGGCAACCGGCACCTAGGATTTGTGACTTCAGGGTGAAAAAGGGTACTCAGTTATTTTTCTTTGTGATGGTTTTGAACATGTATGTGGCTTCTATCGCATATCTTTGTGCTAATGGTGTAATGTCGAAGTCTGCCAGGAATTTCTTTTTCAGTGCAGTCCTCTTTAAATGCTAAAGTGGAGATGGTGGTGCATGTTGGGCTGTAGGGCTACTTCTGTGACTTGTTTCTTTTGCTTACATTTATGTTTCACATCCCTTTAATTATGTCCTTTGTTGTTCTTGTAATGTTGAGTACTATAATAAAAATGTGTACTTCGCAGGAGCGTTGATGAATGAGAGTAGATATACAGCCATTGAAAACATGTATTTATTAACGGCTGATTTTCAACCGCTATTTACATGAGGTTATAGGCCGTATGGAAAAATAGGCATCACATAGTACATTTATACGAAGAGAATATTAACATCTTGGCCTGGAAACAAAGGTACCGAGAAAACAGCATGCCATCTGGCACTATGGGTTAGTGAATAAATAAATAAATAAACCAAAGACTGTGGGAGCCGAGGGTGAACGACGAGGCAGATTGCACGTGACAGTTGGCCGGCCGAGAAGTCACGAGCTGGCGCGTGACAGTGTGTGCTGAGCGAGGGTGGTAGATGGACAAGGAACGTTGAAGCCAAGCTGCCTAACCTGACCCATAACGAACCCCGGAGCTGTCCACCAGCAAGGTCTGGAGCAAGACCGGTGGAAACGGCGAGCCCGGGCCATATGACCTGGGCTATGATGATCCCGGGGTGGTTCCGCAGCAAGACTCGGGCATTGATAGCCCGGGACAGCCAGCCTACGCAGCGCTGGCGTGGGAAAGGCGATCCGCAGGCCTGGACACGGACCCCGACTGTGAGCTCTGATCGACGGGCGACAACAAAGGTCGGCGGGCCTGGACTACCGGCTCTCGACGACGGGCAACCGAGAGGTACAGTTAACCCATTCGCTGTCTTCTCGTTGCAATGTGTGATTCCCTGGGTGACGGGCGGAACGCATACCGAGCGGGCGACGATTATTAGTATAGAGGGACCTCCCCCATAAAGAACCCCCACAAGACATACCTCGACGACAGCATGGATGTTGCAACCTGTACTCGCAACATACAATACAAGCAACATTTGCCACTAGGAAATAAGGTATGTAAGCGCAACTGAATGACTTAGGCGACCCGTGCGCCTTGACCGGGCCACAACACGTGGACGATAAATAGAATTGACAGAATTGACAATTGAGAAATACAATCAGTAATTTAACAGGTGAAAAACGATGCTGCTTGAAAGAGCTTATTCACCACCGTTTATTGACGAGCTTCTTTGCGCAGATATAATGAACCAATCCAGTGACCGAAGTTTTCCCAATATTACTAATAATGAAATGAATGCAGACCAGTCCCATTCACAGATTTAAGATCCCCCCCTCCCCCCCCCCCCCCACCCACCATGATGATACTCGACAGCAATTTCGCATATGGCTAGGGTTCCGCGTTTTCAGAGTTTATTTTTGAGCGAAATCGGAGGGTGTTTTTCCAAGTTCAATTTTCACTATAAAATCAAAGTTTTACAGAGCTTTCTTTTATGGTTCACAAAATTCTGAGTTCTTCGGCGAAGCGATTGGAAGATAGAAAACAGTAGTCTGCGAATTTAGTAAAGCAGCTTTTTTAATGCGAGACGTATTCGGCTATGGTCGTAGGGAGGCTATCTCATTTTTATGATAAAGTGCTAAACGGCATTCTTTTGTGACACCTACTTACAAATGGATGTTGACACTAAAAAAAAGGAAGGAGAAACGAGAAACTTGTTAGAAGATCCCGGGAAAATATAAAGGCCGGTCGGGTTCATAACAGCTGGCAGTCCCAAACATTTTGAATTTTCCGGATCAATTTGAATCTGAAAAATATTTACTGGCAACCATTTTTCGGATTTTATTGGATTTATCTGAAAACGCAAAACCCTAGATATGGCATACTGCAGCCTGCGCTACCCATGTGTCGTTCAATGCTGTTCCAGAATTACTTCCAGCATGTAAGGAAAGTAAAAATGTTCTAGTTTAGGTATATACTCGGCAAGGAATTCCTCGTCGCGAGGCACTGTGACAATAATGTCCTGCTTAGGAGAATACACAAACAAAAATGTCTCGACCACATCCAGGATGTACATCATCACCATGACCTGAGTGTAGTACCTGTGGCTTTTTTTCAGGATGAGGCGTCCGTCAACATACTTTACGTATGGAACGAAGCTCGTCTCCGAGCGGTGGTCAATAAGCTCTGAATCCCAAAGCTTGTACGGGCACTTAATCTCCACCAACCGGTAACCGTCGTCACAGCATACAATGCCATCTGGGCTGCAGGACAGCCACGGTTGATCCGGATGAATCACGAGACCAACCTGTACATATTTTTCACGAGTTAGCTCTGTGATAAAACCATCCCAGGTCCACAAGCACTACCTGATGCACAGGTGTCCCAAGAGCACTTGCCAACACTGTCCTTGCTGTGTCTTCAGTTGCCCTGCCTGGTTTTGTTCAAGGAATAAGTCATCATTAAGCTCAATGTTCGCAACATAATGTCAATGAAGCAACTAATCATTTTTAAAACCTGAGACTGATAAATGACATGCACAGCGCTCTAGTTCAGCTGTAATGTTTGTTTCCTGTTACAGGACAAGAAGCAGGATTTCGAAATGTGTTTAGAAGCAGAGACTATAGCAAAGAAGTTTTTGAGACAATTCCCTCGACTGGTTTTATTGTCTCGTTACGCTTTCCCAACATGCATTATGCGTTATACTTCTTTGAGGTTTATGCCAAACGTATGAGATATCTTGTGGAAGTATGAAAGTATAAACAGTGCAGGCAAAATATAGCCTAGAAGTGCTATTTTTCCCACCCGTGCTCTAGTCCTTACCATATGATGTGGCAGCTGAACTGAAGGTCCTGGGGCGAGTCAACGAGGTGGCAAGTTCGTGAAACTTTGTCCGCCTTGTCTTGATTCTGTGCGCTTTGGTGCTGGTTATACGAATTCTTCTCTCTTGCATCCACCTGTACTTGTAGACAAAAAAAAAAATAAAACAGTTAATCATATCGGCAACTCCACTGATATAAAAGTGTTTTCTAATTTCTTCTTCGGTATACACCTGCTGGCAGCAGCCTGGCCCCTTGTAACAAGGGCAATCTCGACAATCTCGCAGATTTTTAGATATCATTCTGTCGTACAACACCCTAGTCTCTCGGTCCAGGTTGGCGACTAGATCATGTTTCTGTAGACGTAGGGGTGTCAGGCTAGTGAGCTCCATTACGTGGTGCACTTTGTTCTTCCCACTTAGAAGGCCGACCAGCATCTCCTTGTCATTCATGTCCACAATGTCGGTCACCATCTGTGACAACAAGGCGGAGCAGTCCTTTTCAATTGGATCTCTGTTTTCTGCAGTCAGAATCTCTGCAAGGGGGCATTTTATCTCACTAAAGTGACTTAGGAGCATTGATGCGGGTGCAGGCTGCACCACAGGATCACCCAGCTGACTCTTATTCCCTGCAAAGAATAGCACCATGTTAATAATATGTAAATATATAGGTATAGTGAGGGCAATGCCATATTCCAGAAATTCAATTCATTTCAATTCATTCAACGCATTTCTCCCCTTAAGAAATGAACATTAAAGATGCAAATATTTTTTTGTTGGTCTTCGCATTTAATCGCGCTTCTTGGTTCCTTACGTGCAAAGAGCTTGTCTACTCTTTTTCACTGGTCGAGAACGGGCCACGATGACGGCTTGCCCCAGGCACAAGGTCTGTCTGTGCATGCGGTGTGTATCTCGCTGTTGACAAAGACCGCTAGCACGGCTCCGTGTTTGCACCAGCCGCGCACGCCGGCTTTGCATGTGCAGCTCGCGCCCACGATAACTCTGGGCTGCGCTGAAAGCTGGCGGAGAAAAAATAGTATCTAATACCACGGCCGTCCTAGAGTTGAGAGGCTTGACAAATGCACCGCTTAAAATGATAAGACGAAAACAGTACGCCCGTGGCACGCCAACTTCAAAGACTTTTTCTTAAAGTATATTTCAATGGCATCAATCTTTTTGAAGCCGCAGAACAGCACAACAGAATCACTCGCGCGCGTCGCCATTTCGGCACGGGAACGTATCATACATCCCCAATCTGACCACGGGAGGCGCTGGTGGCGCGAGCGACAGTGGCACCGTAGCGGCTGCACGGAGCGTATAGCAGGCAGTCATTGCCAGCGGCAACCAGTCCTTCAAACGTTTCATGGACAGATCACTTTATCGACATGCGATGTTTCATCAAAAGATCATTTCGTGGTTGTTTGTTTTGTCGACAGCTTGACCTACCTCTGGTACCCAGAATCCCATTCGTTTTCCTCCGATGTGCGTCCCTAGCTTGCCTGGCCTGGCTGATCGGTCTTGGTTGCCATGGTGATCGCCATGTGGGCCATTTAAATCTTTGAAGCTTCAAAGGGCAGTTCTAACCAGTCACACCAATATCTATGGAACATCATCGTACTAAAAGCGTTTGTCAGACAATATAACCGTCTTTGGCACTGTGCATGAAATAAACTTATCATTCACGCTTATCTCCCCAGATATTTTACAATTATGTTGCTCTTCCTGCGTACTTTAAGACAGGAAAATTATTTTTCAATGCCTCCAAGCACCGACGCCGCATGTGATGGCATACATCTTTGTACCGTCAGCACATGCAACGTCAGTGCTTGGAGGCATTGAAAAACAATTTTCCTGTCTTGAAATATTGGCACAAGGGTATTATGACGTCATCTGACAGCTACAAGTACTTCGCTCCATCCTCCGAAGGCTTCAGTGGGCGCGTCTATATTGCCACGAGAATGTCGTTGAAACTGCATCTTCTGTTTGTGGAAGTTGGTACCGACCATGCTAAACATTGTTTTAGGTATGACTATTGCCATTGTTTTTCTGCCATGCCCCCCTCACTCTGTTGCTATGTTGCTAGTGTTGGGTTGTGTTGCAATTATTACTCTGTGAGGACATCGAGCTGAACCCGGCTCCTGAAACTTGTCTCGAGCAACTGATAACAGACTGTTCTCGACAGGTGAAGGGAATATGGACCGATCAGGCCTCCCTTGAAACTTCCATTACTGAAGTAAACTCCAAGTTGTCTTAAATGGATGAAGTTTTGAAAGTTACAAAAGGGAACAAATTAAAATTACTGACTCGAAAAAAGCATGAATGCGTTGCAGGGTACACAGTATGCGC